TTAAAAGTAACAAAAGTCCCTTATGGACTATAGAAGTTTCTTGAATGTTTTTTCTGTATTTTTGGGTATAGAAGATATTATAGGACTTACTTATATATTATCCGACATTGGACTTGAAATCTAGTCGTAATACGTGGCAAATTTTGCCATTGCTGGAAAACGGTTAAATAGTTAACAATTAATAATAGTTTTGTATTTCAGTTGAAACTCAAATACCTGTTAAAAGTGGTCCCCGCGTTGAGCGAGCGAAGCGAGCGGTATCGTCTTCGCTTACATGCAAATATACTTTAATAATATCTAGTAATATGTATATAAATTCGATTTGCATTTTGTTTAAATAACTAGATTAACGGATTTGAAATGGAAAACTGGTTTAATTAAAAATAAAATCTCCATTCACTACAGAGTGATATTGGATGGACTGTTAAAATAGATTCGTTAGAAACTGGAACCTTATTCTTATATTTAAATTATTACTTTTGTGCTCAATCAGCATGATTAGATTGGCAAGCAGCTTACACAGAGATTCGGTTTTCAATAGTCTTTTATTTCGAAAGAAACGATTCCTTTTAACCGTACGACGTGTGCAGTGTTCTATTTATTTTATATTATTTCCGTTTCGTCGACGAAAGCATTAGCTTTATTCACCACGCCCTCAAAGGGTTGTCTACCCTGTGTCGAATAAAAACCGATCAAGTGTACTCGAATGGCAGCCACGGGGCGGGGGTTCCATGCCGATGAACTTTCATATTGACGTTTGTTAACCCCTTTGTTCTCCGATCACAAACAAAATGTCACCACTTTAAGAAGCGATAACAATTGAGGATTGTAAGCCGTGACATCTGAGTTTTCAATTTTTTGTTTAATTTTAATTTTCATTGTTCCTCAAAGGTATTGTTCAAGAGTTTGACTATTGAGTTTCATTATTGTTTATGTTCTCTTCTTCTGAGAAGAAAATATTTACTTGAATTATTTTGTAGTTATTTACAGTCTTTAATTGTTTGCTTTGAATACGGAAAGGTAAAGGCACTGAAATTATGTCATATAGATTTCTAATTATTTCATATTAATTACAATGTCTCTTTTTTGCACGTCCGTTAGTCTGAATGATTTCATAAATCTTAAGGTAGCTATGACATAGTATATGTAACATGAAACTGGGGTTGTAGGCGCATGCAATGAATTACGCTAAGTACCGAAATGAAGCGTGGGTTTTAAATTAAAGGTTAGGATAATCTTTGGAAAAAATGATCTGGTCATGAAAATTCTACACTCACAGGAAGCTAATATAGGTTATCACTATAGTATCACATACGCGACCGAAGTCGTTGGAAAACAGCTAGTTAAATATAAGATGTCATAGTTATTTTTTTCTGGCAATCATCACAAACATGCATATAAAACAAACTTACTTTGTAAAGGATTTACAGCGAACTGACAATAAAAAATATTGTTATGATGGGTTATTTGAAAATATTGATTTGAACTAAATCTTGAAGAACCGTCAGGAATAAAGACAACTTTGTTTATAAATATCTTTTACATTTTATATATGAATGTTTTTAACTAAATACGTTTTATATAGTGTGTTTTTATTGTATTATTAATTTTATTCATACAAAAAATACCAACCAACCGTAGTGATATTTATTTCTGTAATTCCTTTTTAGGGTTCTATACCGAAATGGTAAAAACGGTACTAAGACTCCGCTGCCCGTCCGTTCGACTGTTCTTCTGCTACTACTACTACCATTGAACTACTACTGCTGTACTGGGAAGCGTCACCGCATTTCTGTGGAGATTCCACAAACTCGCACCAAGCGATTCGCCTCCACATTCATCGTGCGAACTGCGAAGCTGTGGAATTCGCTACCGGACTCGCTGTTTCCGGACAAATATAATCTGGGACTCTTCAAGTCAAGAGTGAATCGGTTCCTTCTAGGCAAGCACGCTTAGACCACTGCATTGCTTACCATCAGGTGATCTGTGGTCAAGTGATTAATGTAGCACAAACGTACATTAAATATGTCATTAGTTTAAAGCGACATTACCCATACAAATTTGACATTCATTAGAGCTTAAAGGCGTCATTAAACCTCAATGGACGTTTGTGCAACTGACCGTTTATATTATGAACCGTGATAGCTAAACAGTTTAAATTTTCACATATTATGAATTTTTGTTGCCGCTATACTTACTAATCTTATCATAAAATATAAATAAAAGGGGGCTCCCATACACCAAACATGATTTTTTTGCGTTCTTTATAGATAACGGTACAGAACCCTTCGTACACGAGTCCAACTCGCATTTGTTCGGTTTCATAAATACTTTCTCATTGATGCGGAAGAAGGATGTATGCAAGGAGCTTATAATGTGCAGAGTAATGGTTCTTACCACTGTGGGAATGGGAAGACGGAATGAATGTATGTTGTGTTGCACCGAAGCAATAATCTATCGATATTAGGGTCGTGATAGTTTCAGAATCAGTGGAAATATCGATTGTCTTTCAATGTAAATCGATAAATTATTCGATAGTCTTTTATTATCTTTCAATAGTAACTTGCCGATAGTTAATTCTATTGCGTTTGTATTTGTATTTACTTTGCGGTTGTCCCATTTTCCGAAGAAAATGTAGTTCGAAGCCTACTCGGTGAATTATTCAACAAGAAATTATCTTTCACAAAAGGGCAATAGAATAAAGGATTTTTTTAAGTAGGTACAGAAAAACTTTAAAAATTTTTAGAAAAAAATTATCATCTGTAATAATAACTATGGTAACCCTAAGAAGGAATTATTTTTTTCTAAAAATAAATAAAATGTGTCCTAAAGAACAATTTTGGTTTTAAGGATTACTACGTGTTTACTTTCCATCGTCGATATATAAATTAACATTATTGCCGTCACTTTCTGCAACAATTAACTCTGTGAATTCATACGTAAGTACATGAACATAATTGCGTAATCATAGCAGCAGTGGTTCAGTATGACGCAAACTCGAGTAGACCCAATGGCGTCAACAAAGGGCGCAAACGACCAACTAGCTCCAGAAATGGGCCATTGCCCGTGCACGCTGAATGCACTTAATAGCCGTTCGTTCCAAATTGAACCGTATTCCTTCTATATAAGGAACAGTGAAAGTATTTTTTTGTAATGACACGTTATTACTACAGCATAATCGTCAAGAAAAAAATCACTCACTCTTATGAGATTGTATTAAAAAATCAAACCTTAAGGCGAGCTATTCTGATTCGTATTATCGTAAGTGAATAACAAAAAACAGAAAGATTCAAAAGTTACGTAGCTGTAAAAACTCCGGAACATTTTGAACCAGGATAACAGATTTCGACATAAACGTTTAGTTTACGACATCGTAGGGTTAACGGGAATATAAATTGTGTTTATTAGTTCTATTACTGATATTTTTGAATTTTGTAGCAGTTAATAATGAAAGCGATTTTTTAGGTATATTTTACTAACCACGTTTAGATTTTTTTAAACAAATACTTTTTTTGGAGCCGTATTAGCATTTCGGAAATAGACGAAATTTAATTTCGGAGAAATAGAATTGGCCTTCGGGTGTCATGTTAATTTATACGAATAGTAATTTGGCGTTACATCGTATTAGTGAGCAAAATGTGCAACAGAAGTTGAGTATCAATCTACAAAGGTTTTATTATTTATTTATTATTATTATTTATTTATTATTATTATTTTTTTTTTTATGTTTTATTTTTTTTTATTTGTAGTAAGCTGAATAACAACAAAAAGGTTCTAAGAATTTATTTTAAATTCACTGTCATGAAAAATCTGTTAATGGGCGCTATTGTAATTTTTTACGTGGTGATTGTCAGACGGTAATACAGGGAAGTAAATTGTATGAAAATATATGAAAACTTAGATTTTCGCAACGGTTTTCCCTTCCCTAAAATTGTTGATGGGTATTTAAGAAGATCCTTTCCTATATAAAGTTATTTACATAGGAATTCAAAAAATAATTATTTATTTGTCCTCCTTCTCAATCAGAACCACAAAGTGGTTAAAAAATAAACAAAAGTTTGTACGTCAACGTTACGTGCGTGGCGTTAACGTCCTCGAAAATGTGACGCGCGGAATTAAAACGCGCCCAATAGTATACTTACTTTATCAGTTAGTACTGTGTAGTTGATATACATAGAATTCAGTTATATGTACAGAGAAAATCACTATCTGATAAAATTGAAATAAAAAATAAAACAATTTAGCAGTGTGAAATGAACATTTGCAAGGTATATTATCAAGGTCCTTATTATATTAATTATTCCTCTTTCAATTGCAAAGAGTAGGTATTTTAATTGTCCATGACAAAATACAATACACTTTTCTATTTTATGTATTTCTAATTACTTAGATTTTCTTATTCAGTTGATCTAATATAATTGCAATAAACAAAATTTTTCGATAATGTCATGAATACCGGGTGTGTGTAAAACTCCAGTTAGTTTAATAAACGACAAAATTTTAAAGACAAATTAGCAAAATAAGAGACTAAGCTGTCTTATTTTTAAACAATATTTAGACTTCTGTGTACCTATGTAAAAGTCTATGCTAAGATTGACATAATATTTTAGGTCACTTTATATTGTAACGCAATGCAAAAACGCCGTTCAACGCATCGTATCAGATTTTAGCATATAACCTCTCAGTTTGTTTAACATTTGAATGTCTCCGTAGTCAGCTGTTTGACATTCGGCTGCCACCCTCCCCCCGCAGGCGGGTGGTGTGCGCGGTGCATTGCCGCGCACCCGCGACGTGGCTCACCATGCTTGTGCTATCGATCCCGACCATCGCCGCCGCCGGCTCGCCGACTGCCGAGCCTCGCACGCACATCGGTCGGCCACGATTCGATCGACGCGAGAGGCTTCCCCAGCGGCGATGGTATGCGGTGGGGGGCTACGGAGGCGGGGCCGGATCATCTAGCTACGGGGTGCGGGGTGCGCAGGCGCGCACTAGTCCGCGCCAGTCTCGCGGCCGTCGCCATTTCGCGCGCACGTCTGTGCGCCCTAAGCCCGCACAATCAGCTGATCGGCGCGCGCCCCGCGGCGCACATGCCGTGAGGCCGCGCCCGCCAACATGACGGGCTACGCCCGCGGCGAGGCCGACTTCGCCACCGCCGACCGCTTCCGCCGGGACGCGCGGCCCGCCTCGCTGGCCCCCAAGGACTACTCGGTGCCTTTACACGTAGACTGCAGTATCGAATACGAGCTTCCCGACTGTGCCAAGCCGCCGCAGGGCGTCAAGATCGAGCCGCTGCTCATGATCCACCCGTCGCACTTCCGGAGGCTCGAGAGCCTGCGGCGGGTTCCGTTCGTGAACAACCTGCCACGCGGAGATGCCGCGGCGGCTGCGGCCGTGACGCCAGCTAGCCGTGCGCGGGCTCCACGCCAGCCACGGCGATGTTGCCGCGCTGCACCTGCACCGCCTGCACCACCACCACAACCGCAACCGGCACAAGCGCAGCGGCAGCGACTGCCGGAAGAACCAGCGCGGCAGTTAGCATGCTACCGGTTCGAATCGTTCGCACCAGAGGCTGCGGCATCAGGAGGCGGCAAACTGGCACGCGCTCGACTCAAGCCGCATCCGTACCTGCCGCCGGAGGCGCTTGACTGTGATATAGCTCGCGCGTTGCCGCCCGCCGCGCCCTACGACCGCTTCGACAAGCGGGCGCTGCAGCAGCTGCCAATCTACATGTAGCCGAGCGGCGGCGCCGGGGCGGGACCGGTCTCTGTGATGTTTCGTTGTAATTAGTTAGAGTGATAAGTGCCGGTGGGGCGCCGGCGACGTCGCTGCGGCGCCGCCGGCGCCCGCCTAGCGTTGTGTCCGCGCGGTGTCCCTAGCGCCGCCGCGTCCGCGATGAACCTAATACCAAATAGTACCTATGTACGTTGATATTGTTTAAACGTTGATTTATGTGTTGTTGTACCGGACGATTATGATGTGTTGTTCGCCGAGGACCTGGACCGTTCGTTATCGTTTGCCGGCGCTGGTGAATGCCTATGCGCCGGCCCTAGTGCATACCCACCAACGAAAATATTTATTCGCAAACGCAGTAACCGACGCTTCACGATTAAATTATTGTACCGTCGCCGATTCGTTGCGTATTTCTGTATAAGATATCATATCGATAAATATATGTTCAAAAATTGTATTATATAATAATTAATATGTACCTATAGAGTAAAAAATGAAAGTGAGAAAAATATTACGAATAAAACTAGAAATAGTTATGTTTTCGACTAGGTGATGATTTCTAGAGCAGTCCCAAGCGGTAAACTAGAAACGTATCTCTACTCTCATTTTGTAAGCGGTTATGTTTGTTAAAATTATATATATAAAGAGTCCTCTGATGAATAGTCTGATTAACGAATATTCGGCATGTAAAAGTCTTTATAAAACGCTTACTTAGCATATCATAGTATTATATTGTGTCATAGTCCAATGCCAAAAATATAACTATCTTTTTACAAAAATCCTAAATGCATCGTTTTATTTATCTCTATTCGGTACGGTCTGGGCGAGGCCGCCGTCCGGTCGTCCAGTTTGTGTGATCATGTGTATATAGTGTTTACAACGGACAGTGTGTGTGTTGCGTGTGAGCTCAGTGCCACAGTGCCCACTCAGTGGAATGCTCGAGGAGTGCTAGTGCCAACTCGCATAACAATGTCTCATTCTTGGATGTTTACTTGCCGTAAGTATGACAACGAACTGGGAATACATTCGGCTATATATCTCGATAAAGAATTTTATACCCATTTATCATCGACGCAAAATATTATTAGATTGATTTCTCTTGTGCATCTAACCCTGTATTCTCATTGCCAAGGAGAATATTCAAAGATTTAACTGATGTTTGTAACAATTACCTAAAAAAAATATTACCTACGAAACTTGTCTAAACTAATTTTTACCTATGAATCATGTATTTTGGTATTCGAAACTGAATATAACAATTCATTAACATTAATGTAACTTATTATAATGCTTCAGCGAATGCTCTTTTTTACAAAGTTGTCAGATTAGTTCCGGAGATTTCTACATGACGGAATTGTCATTTGTCGATTTGGATTCTATAAAGGTATTTTATAAACTCTTATATCTACAAAAAGTAATTAAGTGGTGATTCTACTTATTTATGTGAAATGAGGCAGTCAACTAATAAACAAATCTGAATATTCATTACTAATGTAATCAATGTAATCAAATGGAGTAATTGTAACACCAATAAATGTCTTCTAGTTTTTAAATTTATAGCCCATGTTTCATGATACAGAGTTTATTATCTCAGTAGAACATAATTTAGATAACAAAGTAATAAAATCCTTGTCACTCTAAATGAAGTTAGGTATTAATAAAAAAAAGAGCTTTTCAAAAATGTTATTGTTGAATTGAAGTCTACAATAAGAAACAGAAAACATTTGCGGAGCTACAACAGTTGTTTATAAATATTCTTGTGTTGTTAACGATACTGTAGACTAAAAAGGTAATCAAATGTAATTCAAATCAACATAATTGTCACAAAATTCTGCAAAATTATTGAATCTTATGGGTAATGTTCAGAGTTATCTGACAGAAGCAATCATACGATGTGAAATGTCTATAATAATATAAAAAAATGAAAAATACTTCCATGTTACAGAATATATAATAATTAATTGATAAATGCTGTTATTTGCTTTCATTCAATCATAAAATTATAACAAATAAAAAATCAGTGCTATTAATAAATAAGGTTTAGCGTCAGAGTAATTGCAATTCTAATATTAGTCCAATTCATATTTTACAGAGAATAAGCAAACCTACTACCTTCTAGGAGTAAATTTTACTCCCGTAGAACCTCGTACTAGGTTAACCTTTGCTAACTATCAAATACTAAAAGATGACAATGAGTCGCAGCATAAATTTATTCCAATGCTTAACCTTGTTTATTATTAACACTGTATATGTCCTACGCTGATATGAAATAACGAATTTTGAAATATCATAATTTATCTCCACAGAGGTAAAAATAAGATTTTTAGTTCTAAGTAATCAAAATATATTTTTCCTGTTTTGATCAAGGCATGTGGTAAAACATTAAAATTTGTTATTAAATACGAAAGACACGCAACTTTCAATAATGATAGGGACAGTAAAAGTGCGTTATTTAAAAATATTAGGTAAAAACACACATTTATACTAAACTAAAAAAGGAATTAATGATGACATCAATAATTAACATATTAACAACATTGTTTTGTAATTAAATAGAAGTTGCCTATGAGATAAAAGTTTTTCTAATTATCCAACATATTTGCTCGTTATTAGATATGATTTTAATGAAATACTGGCAAAGATAATTTTATAGCATTAAGAAAAGGTCATTTTAGCTAAACTGGATAAATAATATTTTATAGGAATAAGAAATTTCTTTAAATTCAAAATATTTTTTTGGAATTGGAAATGGAAATATATTGACGTTGTTACTAATAAGAAAGTGTAACAAAAGATGTTTTTAACAATGTATAAAAACTTTTTTAAATACCTACGTAACTATTTTGCATTGTTAAGGGAACGTAGCTTCGATGGGGCGTTTCAAAACTATTGAGTAGACAAAAGGCTAACAAGTCATTCATTGTATGTTTTATTTTATTTAAGAAAGATACACAATGGGTCGTGAATTATCTACAATGGCTGAGGGGAATTATTCATACACCTACTACGCTTTCAGGGAAATAAGAATGGTGGAGAGACTGCTACAATAAAGCATGAACTATAATGATTCTTCATATTCAGACTCGGCAGGCAATTAGTTGTGGCGGGCCTAATTAAGATGCAGTCAGATAAATTTGAGTCGTATGCAGGTTTAGAGAGGTGACTCGCTATTACTACTCATGCACGCTGAGAGAATGAACTCCATTACTCGACTGCAGGTAGGGCGAGACGGCCTGTATTAGCATCCGCGTAATAAACACGAAATAATTATAAAGACGAGACTAATGGATGATTGGCCCGCTTAATCTCTTGCCGAACAACACTTCTGTTTTTCGATGTAAGCTTATAAGATATTCATAGATATAGTCTTGTCCTATCCTCGCAAGCGCCAATGGGACTATTTTTTTTATCTCTGAAAAGATAATAAAAAGGTTATTGTCGCTTTTTATGGCGTTCGTACTGTGCTCGGATTTTGCAGCCAGCAGTAATTTTTGCTCACATTTTATATTATGTATTATATAACATAGCTTTGAGATTTCAAATATAAATAAGGGACATAGGTATATTATCTTTCCTTATCGATAAATCGATTATGAACTTAATATCGTTGGTCTACTTCAATAAAACTCATGACAAATCTCCATTAATAAAAATAATGATTGTTCTATCTGGGTTCTAGTTCACAGTCTCAGGTTTGTGATAATTTTTGAGTAACGTATGAGCATCTATGTATAGCATAATTACTTAAAACGTATAAGTCTTGGTCACGGACTGATAACGCCAGTTCACGTTTAGAGCAGCACTACAGTAATTGCTTCCTTCCTCGGAACGCGTTACTTACAATAACCAGTAGTTATGTTCGATAATGCTTCATCCAATTTGTATAAAGTGGAAAACACTCGGGATGGAATTCGATTCCCGAAATGCGAGTATAATTTATAGTCTGTATTATCTCTCGTAAAACGAAAACCCAATTTATGTACGCCTGCCACCCGCCGTCATAAAACATAATATTATCGACATCGGCCCCCTCCCTAGGCGATCACGAAACTAAGCAAGCATCGGCCATTTTAAGTACCGAACTTGACAGCGGCGCGTCCCGCTCGCCTCCTACCAGTATCCCTCTCTAGCGCAGGTTGTGAGAGTAGGATAGCACAAGGGATCGGAACGCTTTCATGTCTCGCCTCCGGAAGGAGCGTTCAGCTACATTTTAGATTATTATTATTATAAATAGGTTCGCATTTCCTTTGAGTCTTGTGCCGTCAAAGCGGGCCGACTGGTTTTTTTAACAGTGCCTCGCTATAAGTGCGAATATTTGATTTTCGTCAGGGAACGCTTTTGGATGTCTGTAAAAGGCAACTTGCCGTTAACTGAATACATATAGCCGACGTGTATTTTCGGGAGGGCTAGGTCGCACGGCCTCGGCTGGCGCGATGGCGGCATGTCAGCGTGGCGCCGCGACCTACTGCGATCAGCTGATTGGCGGCGTGGTTGTGTGCGCGGCGGGGAGCGACCGCGGGGAGGGGTGGGGGGGGGCATACGTGAGCGCAGTCAGCTGATACCGGCGAGATAGCGCCGTGGAGCCCGTCGTCGCCGTAATTAAAGGGACATGCAGCTTCAAAGCCAGAACCGCGTTATTTACTGTCTGGTGGGAATGCTTCGCCTGTCGGCTCGCTCGCTGAACTAATCGCGTAGATACCTCCAGGAATCGTTTTCTAGCTGATTAAATTCCACCACACGGTAAAGGATAACGTGTCGGAATATTAAATATGTAGACACCCACTATTATGGTAATATTGTACGTGCCCGTTCACGTGAGACCGAATTCTATAGTTGACTGGCTAGGTTCAAATGAGACAATTCGTTTTAGACGATGAGAATTTCACTACAGCTGCGCGATGGTAACAATGGAACTGGCCTGCCTAACTCTATTTGGCATAATCGCCGTATCCGTTACGGGAAATGAGGCAGCGACTCGTTTAATATGAATACAGACTCCATTAGCTGTAGTTATTACAAAACTTTATTGTGTTGAATTATTTACTTGGCGAGCCTATTTATTATATGCCGTTCATTAAATAGCGATAACGCTTTTTACGTCTACATTATCATTATTCATTAGTTATTCGTTGTAAAATTATTGAATCATTTTATATAGTTCTTCGTGAAGTTTTTTATCGCCACATAGGCAGCGGCGTGATTGGAAAACATTCGTGATGTTTATAAAACGTCGCCGACGGAAACGGTGCACGCAAATGAGTTTTCAGAAACCCGATAAAGGCGAGTGAGACGCGTAAAAATCGCTCCGCTCGTAAGCCAGTCGGCCGACCGATTCGATAATTAAGCATTGTTCAAGTGGCACCGTGTAACCCCGACGGCCGTTTTGAACTTCGAACGGGTTTTAACGTAGCGCTCGTTGTTCAGGAATGACAGTTTTGTTCGATAATTACACATAATTTATCACGGCGCTGTAATTAAACGTTGGACA